ATACTTAATAATAAAAGAATAAACTCTGTGCTATGCATACTCGCAACTATAATGCTAGTTTGCTCCACCAAGTACTGAGTACCTACTGCAGGTCAGGAATTCTCTTAGAATATAGCAATGAATAAAAAAATCCCTACACTCAAGGAGGTTATCTTGTTCCATGTTCAAATATGAATACAGGTGCACCCCATCCCCCAGGTACTTTGTTATTGTTTTTTTCTAAAATTTCACAAGCTTCTCTGTCTGGGGTAACCTTGACTTTCCTCCCTACTTTTCAACACACCCAATATATAACCCTTTTAGAAAGTTAAGTATAGATTCCCAATAGCAATTTATAAAATAAAAAAAAATTATTCCCAAGCACATCACTGAAAATAAACTAGATGCTTCTGCAAGCTGTTTCAACTCTGCCAGGTCATTGAACACCATTTGATAAGAGAGATAAACAGAAGACATAATAAAACTATATTAGATATTGATGTAAGTGTGACAGTGATTAGAAAACTTGACATGCTTTTTGAAAAAGTAAAGCACTTTGAGAGAGTCTGCTTAATTGAGTGCAAGTGTATTGACCAGAGGGAAATAACCTAGGTCTTACCATGATTTCTATCAATTAACATTACATTTATAGAAAGACACATAAGATCAATTAATATCTCTACCACCCAATAATAAAATTCTTCTTCTAACATCTTCAACAAGGCACAGCCTATTTGGCTTTTGTTTAAATACATCCAGTGATTAGGTAGTAGTTTCACTATTCAGAGATGGGGAACATTGATCCGAGGGCCATATAATTATTTGGTCTGGCCCTGCCAAGGCATTAGAGGTGAGATAATTAAATTTTAACCAAATATAGGAGGCTAATTTTTAAGTACCAGCATTGTACTCTAGAACTGGTCATCTCCATGCCAAGTGCATTGGGAATTTCTCCTTATTTCACAAGCTGAGTATCATAATCACTGTAAAGCTCCAAAATGATTCCATGTGATGCTACTGACATAAAGTTGAGTCCCCCAGGGGTACTACCTTTAATTTTATGAAATTTTCAGGCCACAGTTATTTTGAAAGAAGAAAAAGGGAAAAGAAAATTGACTGAGATCAATTTTGAAGGTTTTCATTTCGCCAAGTAAAGAAATAATATGAAAATATATCTACTTTTCTTATTTCCTAAATCAAATATTTAGGAAGTAGAAAGTACATAGATTTCTAACAAAAAGTTAAATAAATTTTATGTTGGGAAACAAAGCTAATTACACTAAACTAATTTTACAATAAACCATAAAAATGCTTTCATGGACCAGTGTTTGGAATTCATTGAACTAGATAACAAATATCCCTCTGCACTTTTGATGCCCCTGGTGCTTCTGATAAGCAATGATTTTCATATCTACTTGTACAATCGATTTTATTTAACCTAAGGCCCTGATTTCATATTTACTCTTGTTAGATTTCAACTTATGAGTTTCCAAAAATTAACCTAAATTGTCAACATACTTTAAAACATTGAATTCTCTCTTCTCATTTTTGCACATATACAAATGTAAAATTTTTATTTTAAAAATACTCCTCTAAGTCACTTGCTAAAAATGTAACCAGAGCCAATCCCTATAGACATATGTATCCTTCCACTGGGTTGACTTTAAAACAGCTATACTACTCCAGCAATGCTATAACCAAGATCAAGTTTCTCTCCTTTATATAAAAGACAAATCCATTATAGGATCTCAGAATTGAACTTCAAAAGGCAGGCAGGCCAATTTCTCACTCAGGGCTCATACATTCTATACAATAGCTTGGTCTCAACATCACCCTCCTTGTATTTAGATGTGTGTGGCATTGAGACATTACAAATCCTTTCTTCTCAACAAAGTCACTTCCTTTCCATATATACATACTTCCATTAGAAACTCAATCTATATTGAGATGAAATGTGTACCTTTCCTCTTAGCTTTTGCTCATAGGTTGTAGTTCTGTCCCTCAGGGCCCTCAGAATGAAGTCTTTCACATCATAGCCCTTTCAAGATTTGCTGACAGTGATTATGTTTCTCCAGGTCTTACCTTTTCCTGGCTAAAAAGTACCTGTTGCTTTTTATAAGTTTTTCATATAACATAGTTTCTAGTCATGTCACTATTTCTGATATCCTCTGCCCCAATGCTCCAAGTGACAATTAACTTTGAAGTGTGACATCTATAACTGGGCAAAGCGTTGTAGTTGTAGTCCATTAGGCACAGTGAGAACCAGAATGATCCAATTCACTGAGACTTAGGAGAACTCAACCGTATTTAACACAGGAATTATATGCCATCCTATGAGCTCTTCCCGACCCTGTGTTTTCTCAATTTTAATCACTCAAGAATCAATCTATCATTGTTCTAATTGGTTGGGTTTTGTTCAGAAATTAATGAAATATCCATTTGTAGTAAAATTAAGAGTACTAAAAGAAATAAAGCAAGATGTAAAAGTATCCCTACTTGTTCTTTGTCCCTAATCTTACTTCTTGGAAGTAACTTCTTTTAAAACTCTCATGAGGACCTTTTAAAAACTTTTCTATGACCTTCAAAAACATATGGTTCTATCTGCTCCTCTTTTCCAAAATATATGGCATGATGTACACATTCATCTGAAATTTGCCTTCATCACTCTTCTTACATATCTTCCATACCAAAACATACCAATTTACTACCAAAAAACATTTAGGTGGCCTTAGTTTTTGTTATTCCAGATAAAGCTGCATAAAACTCTTGCTTACACACTGTGTACTTATGCACATGTATATCTGTATGATAAATTAAAGAAAGTGGAATTAGTAAATCTAGCTGTATGTGCATACTTTATTTATATATATTATATTTTGAAAAAGTGGAACTTACACACATGTGCAATTGAGCATACACACACACACACACACACACACACACACACACACACAAACACAGTGGGTTGTACTCCAGATAAACTAATTCTGAAATTCAGGATATGCTGATAAAAATTATACAATGTTTAAAATAATTTTAAGTATATAGAAGATTGAAAATAAGTTTTAGAACTTATTCTTTGATGAATAAATTTAAATCATTAGAGATTTTTTTTCTGATAGTTATATTGTACTGTCAAATCACATTGAGATTACTATCAACTAAAACCTGCAGGTTTTTTGGAGGGTAAATTTTTGCTAAGCTACATTTCTTCCATTCTCTATCTTTGCAATTTGTTTTAGAGTACTCAGTATATATGGTTTAGTTATTATACTTATTATATTTCATCTGGATATTGAGGTTTAGTCTAAACTCTAGAACACCCGAATTATTTGTGACTGTGTTCTTTCAGTTTCCTTTATCATCTTACCTTACCTAAAATTTTAACAGTATTATCCTATAATTTTATCTAAATCACTAGGAAAATACTGAAATGAGCTAAGTCAAAGGCAGGTACTTTCAGCCCACCAAGAGACGCCTCACTCTTGACTAGCAACTATATATTAACCAATCCATTTAAAGGATTTTTTTTCATTAGTTACAATTCAATAATTATACTTTATTTTCTATGTTGTCAAAAAGAAGACACACCATGTTAGGAAAACTGCCATAAAGATGTTGGTGAGGGCCTTGCTGTCCTCTATGAATAGAATTATTTATTATTCTAAAATCCTAATCATTCACATCCATAGGACAAAAAAAATGCTGCATTTTTGCTGGGTGCAGTTGGTTACAAGCAGTGAATAAGGAAGACTAAATCACTGCCATCATGAAGGTTATTTTTCAGTGTGAAAATATACAATAAAAGTAACAAGATAATATAAAATATAATTTGAGGTTGTGATAGAGACTCTAAAAGAAATAAGTATGGCAGCATGATATGAGAGAGCTGCAGGAGTGATTTAAGGGACTGATCTCTGAGGAGATGATATTTGAGCGGAATCCTCACAAATTGAACATAACAGTTGCTGTCTGCATAGCCATGTGGGAAAAGAGCACTGGGAAACTGCCAACTGCAAACTCCCTCAGGGGTGAAGGAGCTTATTGTGTTCTAGAAACACAGGCCAGTGCACAGGGATCTAAGGATTAAAAAGGAAAATAATGCCGGATGGGGCTGGATGTTAGACAATAGGAAGCTCATAAGAATCATCTATACTAATAGAAGGGTAATATGCTAATGAGGCCAACATCTTCCAGATGACCTTCCTGATGTCCTTCCGGCAAAGCCATGGTGGTGGGGATGAGGCAGAGACAGTTAGGGGGATCAGGCCGGCAGGGGAGAGCAGTTAGGGTAATCAGGCAGACAGGCAGAGGTGGTTAGGGGAGATCAGGTTGGCAGGCAGAGTAGTTAGGGGAGATCAGGCAGGTGAACAGTTAGGAGCCAGTGGTCCCGGATTGGTAGTGGGATGTCCAACTGCTGGTCTAGACCTGATACCTGTGGGAGTGATCAGGCAGGCATCAGGTATCAGGCCTAAACCGGCAGTTGGACATCCCCCAATGGGTCCCAGATTGGAGAAGGTGAGGCCAGGCTAAGGGAAACTCCCCCACTCCCCCCCCATGAATTTTGTGCGTCGGGCCTCTAGTCTAGAAATAATTCCCTAAAAATATATTGCTCTTCAGATTTCAAAAACTCCTGAATTGCCGACAGGAAAACATTTATTGGCTTTTTTCAAACCCATGCCTTCCTTTTATAAAAGTGGCAAAAATGTCATTCATTTCATTCTGTTTGAGATTTCAAAATAAATAATGACTAAGACATAAAATCTGTTGAACAAAACACTGCTTTGATTCAAGCTATATCTTTCTTAAGCTTCTGATATGGGCCCTTAGGGAATGTTACAAGAACCACATGCTAAGTAAAGAACTAGGTGATTAGTAAAGAATGAGCCATGGCCTTAAAATGAGTTATCTTCTGTGTTTAAGATAAATACTTAAATATCGTTCCATGTGGATAAAAGTTGGAAGCATTGTATACAATTCTTATAGATGGTTTAGTGAAAAAGACAACAACATAGTCATACCTGTGGACACAAAGTTTCCAAGTGGTTGGCTGCAATTTTGACAATTTTAATTCCATCTTCATTTGTTGACATGGAACAAGCAAGATTTGCCACCTTAAATACAATTCAAAATAATGAAAATTATTTCAGATCATCAAGAAAATGCAAAAACATTTGTTTTCCTAGACAAGTAAGCACATGTACCCATACATTGAAAGTCCCGGTAACAAACATTAGCATTCTCACAAATGTCAGTGGTATCAGTTTTATGAAAGCATCCTGAGAATCTATTGCAAAAAATAATATGAAGATCCCTAGAAACTTATTTAAAACAAAATCAATAACTAGTGAGTGAATCAGTAAACCCTGAACAGTCTCTTGGGATCAACATCTAATTCACAATAAGATGCTAACTATTATGGATTCCTATGGGGCTGGAAAAAAATGTCTGGCCATTGAATGCTAATAAGTTCTTGGAATCTCACATGATTGAGGTTTATTTTACTTTTATAATTAGTTTATTATTCCCCAGAGATTTCTTATGCCTACTTAAGTTGCATTAAGAATGACTGTATCTTTATTCATGTTTTATTTAGCATAAAATATGCTACAAAGTTGGGCAAATACAAGACTATTAAATTCTTCTTCCTGTTCTTGATTTTCTACTACAACTTCATGGGCACGGTTTGGCATCCCAGCAGTCTGTTTGATTCAAGCATTAGTGACACTAAAATTCCTTTATACATTATTGCTTCTGAAACTTATACTCTTCCAGTGAAGAGGCCGCTCTTTCAAATAAGTACCATTATGTCCATTACCTAAGTCCAATTTTTACCAATACTTTCTTTATATCATGAAAGAGCCACGAGAAAGGGCATGGATTCCTTTCCCTTCCTTTGAGCCTGTTATTCACGGTTCCTCTTGGTCGCAGGTGATTATTTGTGTAGAGGGGTAGTGTTTCCCCAACCTACAAAATACATCCTTGTCTTCATCACAGCAAGGAATTTGCTTTTCCAACAATCCATTCCTAACATTATATGCTTGAATACATCACTGTTTTTATGGCTCAAATCCAAAATACATTTAGTTGTGGAGAAAGCACACATTAAATGCATGCAATTGGGAGCACACAACAAACACATCTTCGGATCACTAGTTGAAGAATATCACAAATGTTATGAAAATGGATTTATAGCCTTTGTTTTTGAATAGCATTTCTTTTACTATGTCAACAGTGAAACCACTCCTTGCCTTCCATTTTCATATAATGAAATAACAGCCATACATTATTTAAGTGTGGAAGGGCATTGTTCACTTTATTAATGTACATGGAATGGCTTACTTGAAAAGGTCTTTTGTTGGCTTGAAGGTCACAATGCCTCAGCTTTCAAAACTGACACATAATTAGCACATTTGTGAATTATTTGAAAAGGGCAGCAGCTTCTGTACCCCTCTCCCCACCCCAGGATCCACTCTCAGAAAGTGAAATTCAGTCATCTAATTGCTTTAATATATCTATGATAATTGGCACTGCACTTGCAGAAAATATCTATCTATAAATATGAGCACTGTTTAAGTAAAAAAAAATTATTAGATCAATCTTTTGATCCAATCAGAAAAATGCTGGTTAATTTTAAATTTAAAAATTACAAAAAAGTGCCCCATATAGACACTCTTCTTTCTTCCTTCCTTCCTTCCTTCCTTCCTTCCTTCCTTCCTTCCTTCCTTCCTTCCTTCCTTCCTTCCTTCCTTTCTTCCTTCCTTCCTTCCTCCTTCCTTCCTCCCATGTGTCATTTTTCTCTTTTTCCCATCTAAAAATAGACATCTTGTTCTGAACATTTCTTGGCACCATGTTTGTTATAAGCCAATCCAGTGACATGGGAACAATCCTAAGCAGAAAGTTTCTGTTCATATTAGCAGACTTAACTTTCTAAATGTAAAGTAAAATTAATTTTATCCTTAATTTCTGGAACTCGTTTTTTTTTTCTTTTTTATTGAGTTTATTGAGGTGGCATTGGTTAATAAAATTCTATAGTCTTCAGGTATAATTCTACAATATTATCATCTGTATATTATATTATATGTTTATCTCCCCAAGTCAAATCTTCTTCTATCACCATTTATCCCACCTGCCCTCCTTCCCTCTGGCAATCACCACAATGTTTGTGTGCATGAATCTTTCTTTTTTTCTTTTTTCTTTGCCTAATTCCTTCACCTTTCTCATACAGCCCCCAACCACCTCCCTCTGATAGCTGTTAGTCTATTTTCTGACTGACATGGGTCTGTCTCCACTTCATTAGTTTATTTTGTTCATTAGATTTCATATATAAATGAATCATATGGTACATACACGATATGAATTAATTGGGGTGACACTGGTTAATAAAATTACATCAAACTTAAAAGTTTTTGCACGGCAAAGAAAACCATCAACAAAACAAAAAGATAAACCACTGAATTGGTCAATATATCTTATAAGAGCTTCATATCCAAAATTTGTAAGGAACTTATAAAACTAAACACCAAATAAATAAATAAATAACCCAATTAAGAAATGGACAAAAGACCTACATAGACACTTCTCCAAAGAGGACATACAGATGGCCAAAAGACATATGAAAGGATGCTCATCCTCACTAAACATCAATCTACTTCATTAAAAAAAACAAAACAGTATTACAGTATTTACACAGAAAAATAGCAATCTCTCGCATCATGAAACAACACCCCCACATCTCATTCTTCAGGGTCAATCGTTTCCCACTTTTTCAACTATTCTGATTATTTGCCTCGATATTTCCTCAATCACAACTATATTTGTGAAGGGGAAAAACACTGCTTTTGTTGTTGGATCTCTTTGTCTTTTTTCCCCCCTTTCTAAAAATTATTTTATTTTTATATTATACTTTGCATACTATTTTGTGTCAATATTATTTTGTGTTAGTTTTAAGTATACAGCGCAGTGGATAGACATTCATATAGGTCACAATGTGTTCCCTTTGATAATTCAAGTCCCCACCGGGTACACAGAAATAGTTATTATAATACTAGTAGCCTTGCACAACTGACCAGTATTTCCCTGCAGCCCTCCAGAAGCTCTCAGCTCTCTGCCCCACCCTCCTGTAGTTTCTCCTTTCCCCTTTTTCCCCCACCCCCTCATAGCTTGCTGCCCTGTACCCTCCTGTAGCTCTCTGTTGCTTGCTTGTAGCTACCTGCCCTCCCTCGTAATGTGGTTTTTACATAGTTGGTTGTTATGCTTCATGGAGTAATGACCATTTGCATATTACATCTTTATTATATAGGATTGTTAACTTTATTCCCTAAAGCAGACTAAAGTTTTACAAAATTCACAATTGAAAATGCAGCACAATTAAACATTTTCCACTCAATTAATGACCATATTAATATTCTGTCTTCTTTTGTTCAGACACACCTGAACAAAAGACATACCCAGTACATAAAGTTACCAGAACTGTTATGTCAGGTAAACTTACTAGGTAAATAAAGTAGTGCTATTTCTAGATTAAGGAACATGGAATTGTAGTAATATTTTATACCAATTAAAATGCATAAGGGAGCTAGTATTCTGTGACAAAACAAAGAAAGCATTACATGATAGAAATAAAATCTCTTTACAGTTCTAATTTGAGTGATCTGTGACATATTTTCCAAAGTCACATCAATGAGTAAATGAAAGCCAAATTTCCTCCAATAATAATTACTCCTAATTTTTATGGAGCTCTTTTGGCTGGCAAGTATGTTCCAAAGCACAGCATGAAGACAATTCCCTACTAGCCAAAAAAACCACCATGCAAATAAAGTATTTTGTGACATAGTTTAAGATATCTGAACATCTGGCATCTTTTATATATCTAACTTGGACAATGTTTCAAAAGTCTGGGTCTAACCTTCATTATTCTAGAGATACTTGTGGAAAATTTCTACACAATTAGGAAAATTAGAGCATTGGGATGATTTAGAGATAAACAGATCCGGGTTTGAACCTAATTCCCACAATTAATAAGCTCTCTGGCCATGGGCAAGATGTTAATTTCTCTAAGCCTGTTTCGTCATCTGTAAAATGGATATGAAAATATGTACCTCACTGGGGAGCTTTGAGGATTAAAGGAGATAATGTACAGAGAGGGCCTAATACCTGCTAGCCCAGACTGTTTATGAATCTTCTTTCAGCTCATCTCTCTCTCTAGTAATTGGGTTTGGACAAGAATATCAAGTCTCTCAAAAGGTTTTATGAATTACAACCTTAGAAGCCTAGAGAACTTAACAAAAGGTCTAATCCTAGAGTGACAAACTCAAATGTTTTTAGAATTCATGCAGGGATTACAAACAGAGCCTAGATGTAACTCAGTGGTTGGAGTGGGAGGGTAGGTCCTCATCTGTGTATATGCCCAATCTAATGGCATTAAAAGTCCATTAAAACAAGAAGAAATAAAAGATAAAACTTACTGCCTTAACAAAAATAAGTCTGTCAGCTTACTTTAGTTCATAGGTCACCACTTTGTGACCTCTGACCCCATCCTGTAACTTTCGTATGAATAAAAAAAAAAGTTAAACAGGGAGAAGAAATATACTCAAACCAATTAGTAACACGGAGACTATTAACCAAGGAAAGTTGTGCTCTTTACACCACCCTGAATTAAAGTATTCACAAAGGTCCCCTCCTTTGAAATGATGGACCAGACTTTTTTTCTGATATTGTGCTTTATCTAAATTCAAGAAAAGCAGTCCCTTCATTATAAAAAATAATATGCACATAAAGCTAAGTATTTTTAATTAACGACAGTGCATTCTTTATTCAGATTTATATTTTAAGTTTTGAATGAAGAATACTTGAGAAAAGAAAGCTCTTGAGTCCAGGGTTCATTTCTGTCTGACTATACATGTTTATTGGGGACATCAAAAGACAAATCTGTAGCAAAAATCAAATGAACACAGGCAAACTCCGAGTAAGGGTACTTTAACAATATAGCAGAAATCTGTTCTTTATTTTTAACTTGATGTTTGAAAAAGACACAGATTTCTTTCTGAATTTGGAAAAGGACAAGGGTTCACGAAACCCTGTGAAGAAGCATGAAGAATGGAAAGAGAGGCTC